ATGCAAAGTTTGCCGCGCAACCCGTCGTACTGCCTAGTATGTATCTGTAACACCCTGTACATAAGTGGTGCATCTATGTTTACCGTGAAACCGTCACTTCGTCGTGAACGTAAATAGATTTCGTGGAAATATCGTGAGATGTGAAATGATCCTTTCTGAATAATGCTTCGTTGATTGATGAAAATAAAATTGAATCGACATGCAGAACGAAAGCTCGAAAGATAGGCAAACATTGAAAACTCAATTACTCCACGAATCATTTCTTTTCGTCATTTGTTACGACAAAAATAAAGAGAAGTCACGTCAAAAATTCACACAAACAAACGATATACGAAGAATCGAGCTCTCGGGATCCTTGCAAATTGAAACGTTATTTGTGATGAATGTTTCAGAGATCTCATCAAACTTTTAGTTCTAGTTACGTTTCTCTTCTGTTGTTCGAGGTATAGCGATACCGATCAGATTAAAATCCATGCCAAAACTTAATTAAATTTCAAGATAGCGATCATATGTTACTTTTCGTAAATGTTTCCTCAAAAATCCAAATAAGCTTATTTTTCCGGTAACATAAAGGAAGAAAAACTAAAAAGACTTCGGAAACCATAAATTCTTATTAAGAAAGAAGAACAAGAAAAACAAGATTAAAAAGAATCTTTATATCTTGCTTAACAAGATTGGTCATAAAAATATCATGAAACATCAGAAATATATGAAGGTTATATACAAAATTACTCTCTCAGGATTATATGAAATTATTAGACTTACCATTGGGGAAGGTTGAATTGAGCTCGGTGGTGGCTTCCAATTCCGATGACATAGAACCGACGATGACAGCATCTGGTGCTTCCTTGAGCTCCACTTCGATCTTTGTCACGTCACCTGTAAACAAATGTTTTAACTTGTCTCATTAATCATCCGTCTATCATAATTAAATATTAATTACAACAGTAATTAAAACTTTTTAATTAAGGTTTTATCATATGTTATTAGGGAGTTTTTGCAATAACGTGGATCTAGATACGGTGAACGTTAAAGGCACGTTATTCTTTTTGTTAATTTATTAAGAAGAAGATACCGTTCACCGTATCTGGATAAACGGTATTGCAAAAACTCCCTACTACTATCTTTTCTTTCATGTAGAGGAAAAGGAGATAGTTATGATTACACAGAGAGTTATGGAATATCATCTTGTATAGTTTATAGTGAGTGCATTTTGAGAGCAACTATCGAAATGACTTTTTCGCAGTATATTTAAATGTTACTTACAACATGCCACTGATCGTGAGTGTTTATTGTGTTGTCATAAAGACTACATCTTCGTTTTGCAGGTAGACAATTTTGCAGGTGTCTGCTCTTTACGTTGACATAGTTTTCAGAAGTATGTTGGTATTAATTTGGTAATCTAGTTTGGAGGCCTCAAATATTATATGGAGAATATATTACATATATTTTCAAAATATTGGAAAAGTTATGAAAAAATTACAGATTATTCTAAGTCGCGTTTAAAAATAATATGAAAAATTTAGCAACAGTTTACCATCTGGATTAAAGTTACTTCAATAAAAAGTAATATTTTTTTGTGCCCTAATAGAAATATATGAAAATATATTATGAAATAATGACAAAAATCTTAATTTTTTTTGTATATTTCAAGTATTCTAAATGATTTATACAAAGTTACATTGCGATGCAGAGAATAATTATTCTGTAAATAAACAAAATATTTAATTCTTCTAAATTTTTATAATTAATCCCCGAATGAAACTTAACATAAATTATTTTGAATAACTTATAAAAAATTAAAACTTTTGTCATTGCTCTTTAAATTCTAGTTTATAATAAAAATAGTAACAAATAAGGTAAATAAACAATAAAAAATATTAATAAAAATAGAATGTTATAAACACAACTTCCATACAGTTCATTTAAAGTATAAATACTAACATTTGTAAAAATAGATGCATTACATCCATAAATGATATCTATAATTGAACTTTTGGTAACGAATTACGTGTTCATATTTCCGTATAAAGTTATGATGTTAGTGATAAATATTCCATATCTTTCTTTAATTCCATAACTACAACCATTGTCCGCCTTGAGTTATTTGTAAATTAGGTTCGTTCTGCATATTTAAAGAGCTTCTATTCATAATATAATTGGTATCCCTCTATGACCAACTTGTATCAAAAGTAGTTATGTCACATGAATATCTACTGAGTTACTTCAATAAAGTAAAATGGTATTCCATAACCTCCTTTTTTACTCTATATATAATACATTATAATATATTTGAACATACCGCTTCCATCGGTATCGCTGTGTTTGCTTGGCGAGATCGTAACATGCCGATGCCTTTTGGGTCGATCGTTTCCCTCCACAATGAGATATTCTTTGCTGTGACGGCCTATAATTTAAAATAGATTTATTTAGAAAAAATGATACGTTATAATTGAAATAACTGAAATAAATCTACTTCCTAACTACTTCTTAGTTTGATTAAATTTATTTCTATTAAGATAATCAATTATTTATATCAGAATATAGAATAAATATCTTTTTATAATTTTATATGTCACATATACAAAAAGCATTTGAGAATCAGAACGCACGTATATACATATTATTATACATTATACATTAAAGTACATTTAAAGTTATAAGTCTAATTCTATCTTGAAATCTGACCCGAATCATAAGTTTATAAAGGTTTAACTTCAAAACTAAAAGATATTCAATTTTAGAGCTGATTTCTTTGTTACTTCAAATGTTTTCGAAAAACATTCATCTCTAAAAAATTGAAGTCATGTAATAAAAGAATTTCTCAGACCTATATGTCTACTATTTGAATGGATTTATATGGAAAATGTCGCATTGCGTTTGAGAGGCAAAAATGAGAAATAGGACAGCGTGCATCTCGTAGAATGCAGAAAAAAAGAGAACGCCAGTGGTGCTGAAAATGTGCCTCTCCGTTCGCGCATTGCTCGCCCTCATGCATTATTCACAGACCGTGCTCGACTACGTTTAATATATTGGTTACGTATCTCTGGTTCGCGTTTTCATTGCGAGCGGAAAGGGTTCTGTCGTGACGGAGCAACGGCGACATTCGTTTGCACTTTCGCCTATTGCGCGTACAGTTTCGACATTTTGGTTTAGTACGGCATTAAATCTTCCCCGATAAAGCGACTTCAAAATCCGTTTAAATTTCGCCCGCCCTTGTTTATCATCTTCCTGTCATAAATCACATAGCGAACGGTTGTTACGCCTCGACTAACGCGCGATTAAAAGATCATTGATCGCATACGCTCGCCGTCTTTCTCGACTCTGAAATTATATGGTCACGCGTAAGTTTCGCGAATATTTTTCAAGCTTATGCCTTTAATAATAAAAAAGTTTATCGACCGCTATTGCAGCTCCATAAATAATGTACGCGACTAATATAACTCGCGTACTTTGATATGTCTATTAAGGTAAACTACTTGCCGTAAGAAATACGATCTGCCGTATGAAGGGGATTAAAACGTTACAGTCGCCGTTCACAAATAATGATCGTTGAAATAAGTTCCTCGATAAAGTTAAAAACCCCGACTTCGTGGCACAATTTTAGATGGATATTCCGTAACGACAGTTACTTGCCAGGAAAAAAATCTTCCCTGAATCTCATATTTCAGAGCAGAGAATTGCTTACCGTTAAAAGCCTGGTGGACATCGAACAAGGGGTGAAAAAGTTGTGTCGAATGCGGGGATGCGCGTAAAGAGCATGCGAGTAATTACACGTCAAGAATTCTCTCTCTCTCTCTCTCTCTCTCTCTCTCTCTCTCTCTCTCTCTCTCTCTCTCTATCATTTTCTTGTGTTTTATTCTCCCGCAAGCGATGGTGATAACGGCGGAGAAAAAGATAATCGCAACGCTTAAACGAAGCGCGAGATTTAATGGGGCTATAAAGTAGCCTTTTTTTGTTTTCTTCGCAAAAAATCGACGACCTTGAAGTGATAAAGTACATGAGCAATAAAAAAACTTGAGAAATCAATGCGCATACGTTTAATAAGTTTAATTATATCTTTATACTACGCTACGCGTAAAATTCGCTGCAACGCAAATGTATAACTTACGTAATTTTATTTCTACGACATTATTTGCAGACCACAATTATGATGTAATTTTTGTTCGTCTACTTGAATATTACTTATTGATTGAAAATAACTAACGTTATTAGATAAATTTATTATGTGCTGAAACCACCTTGATTTCATTATGTAAAGTCGGCTGACATGACGTGAGTCGGTTATATAACATAGGTATAATAAAGCAATACCGGCTCCCAAGGAGGAATGTATACACAAAGATTCACTTTGTGTTGGAACACAAAGCTGTCTTTATTATTTTCAACATATTGACTATAATAATACGTATGTGTCATAAAATGAACGCTGCAATTGTCTGCATAAAAATGATTATATAAAGGAAAGTTAACGGTACTGACGTCGAGGTCTCCCATTTATTTCTCGTAAATTAAACATCACATTTTATATAAATATTACATTTTATATTACTATTATTTATTATAATATTATTAATATTAATAAAAATATGATTTATTTAGATAATTAAAGAAAAAATGACTTGTATATTTATGTACTTGTTTCTGTTCAAAATCAGCTAAAAATTAGCGAATTTTACAAATACAAAAATAAAATTCTTACAATTTTCATTTGCGTGATTGAAATAATAGTGGATATATTATTGATAATATTAGATCGTTTTACATATTCGTAAAATTGTTTTATTTTTCTCTTTCTTATTTTTTTCATAATACAGTTTTAAACATAAAATTAGGGTGCAGCGTAAAACGACACTTATGGTCTGCAAGACAGACCATAAATTAACTTAATAATATGTATACAGTATCGCGTTATTGTGTTAAATAAATAGCCTTATCAGATCTGGAGGCGTTCCCGTATTTACGGGAAAAGCCTCTAAAAAAAACTTTCACATTACATATTTGCGTTGTGCGGAATAGCATAGATTATATGTTACATAAGTATGCACATATACAAGTAATAAAAACCTTTTATATTAAAGAGTGAAAGAATTTTAGAAATTTTTATATTCATTAACGTGTAGACATTTTATACAAATAATTCCTGTAAACGAAAAAAAATAAGAATAAGAATAAGCGGCATTAAGGAGATTCTAAAGCCGTATATATTAACAACTAAATTGTAATTTTTATATAACAATTACTTTTTTCTCTTTTACAAATTTGAAAATTTTTTTCCAGGATTAAAGTATATGCATTATTACGTGTCTGTGAGGTGGAGTTTATGTCGACAGAACAACAAAAAGTTTTTTTTAAATTTCAATTTCGAAATTTTTTGTCATTCTCAGCATAAACTCCATCTCACAGACTCTAAAAGAGAAAAAAGTAATTGTTATATAAAAATTACGATTTAGTCAGTAATACAGACGATTTTAGAATCTCCTTAAGGCCTATTATTTATCTATTTTATTTTATAGTCAATTTTAAGTGCTCATTTTTATTTCACAAAAAAAAATTAATTATTATAAAATTCTAAACTGTATTATAAGAACTTCTATATTATTGATAAATGATAGTTTCTAATTTATCTTTTCAAAATTTTGTTTTTAGCTTTTGTTTAAGAAATATAGTCCAAAAGCAAAGTAATATGACTGTTATCAAGTAGGTGACCTGCCTTTAATAGTTTACATAAATTTTTTATTATTACAAAATTAATTTGATGCACTTCGCTTTAATCAACTTCCAACTGTTTTAACAGTGTTATTACTCAAAGCTTTTTTAAAAAATATGTACGTATACATAACAATACATATAGGTATATATAAATAATTATCTCTAGGAATCCTTATTTATTATGGTAGCTTTTATGATCACAAAAAGCACTGCATATTGGAATGCTTCAGGAAACCCTAGGATCGCAGAACGTGAAATACAGGAATGTTGAAATCTTGCAGCATTAGACGAAGCTTCTAAAGTTTTTATTCTATTTTATATATGAACAACAAAACGAAAATTTATAGATAAAAAATAATAATCATTTTATTGAAATTAATGAGAAAATGTGAATGTTCTCTGGGAATTTAGAATTTTCTTAAGGAATAATAATAGAAACTGAAAATCTCTAATACTTTTAAAACTTCTTACAATTTCTGATCTATAAAATCTGTCATAAAATAACAGGTATATTTTATGAGATTTATACGTTCCTAATATTTATTCGTGTTACATTTCAAATAAAAATCGTATATAATATATATATATGTATAAGATACTACAAATATACAACAGTTTTATACAAAAATAACAACAGTATTTACATAATATTTTTATACTTTTGTGTTTTAATATATTATTAATATATATTTCATCAAATTGAAACATAAATAAATGTATACAGTAAAATATAAAATATATTAATGTTTACGTAATAAAAATATTAAAATACATTAGTTAATTATGTTTATGTAATAAAAACATTAAAATACATTAGTTAATTTAAATATTAGTTGTATAGAATTTTTATAATAATCAGGGAATGGTTGACCTACATACACTGAAGCTCTCTTCTTTTCTAAATGAGCATCATTTCTCTACATTCATAACAGTTTTTCAACACTTCGTCACGGCAATCTTGAGAAATTGCAACTTTCATTTCTCAGACGTCTTTTTCAGTACCATGAAAAAAGGTTGAAGAGCGCGACAACGATCACTAAAACTGAAGAGATTCTACGCACTGACTGTAAGTCTTAGCTACAATAGAACACGCGCAATAAAGCATTACATGCAATAAAGTACCATATAAAACCAGTATTAAGCTGGTCCTATCCCTTAATCAGCAGGAGCATTCTTTTCACAAGAAACGGATACTTCATTTCAAGAAGAAAACATATAGTTCCGTTAAATAATGGAGCTTGAAAAGAACTTTACGATGTTTTAATATAAAGTTCTTGTCAATTCTCTTTTCTTCGAGAGTGCACTAAGAATACAGTGAACTCCATTAAAAAAATAGTAATAGTTATCGCTTTAAATAAAATAAAAATTTTTAAATATCTTTCAAAATATATTCTTTCAGACTTCATATTTAAAAAAGATTTTTAAATATTTTTATTTTTTTATTATATAAGTAAAACTAAAACCAAATTAAAAATAATATTTAATACCTTTCTCATATATATATTTTAGTAACTTCGCAATTTCATGATTTTAGCCGTTGCACTCAACGCATATTAATTAAATTGCATTTATGAAAAGCTGTGTCGATTATATAACTTCATTCATATTTAGCAGTTGACGATGGAATACAATAATATTCGTCAGTAAAATGCAATGCTTTAATGTGGGAATTTCTGAGAATAAATTGAGCGAAAG